CTGTTTCACAGTTTTAGACTACTTCCTCCATCTCTTATTCCCTCTATTATTTTTACCTGGGATCTTTTTCCAATTGCCTTAAAATACATACAATTAACTCTGTGTTACATAGAGAGTTCAGCATATAGTATGAAGTAGAGAAATGAGAGAGAAAGAAAATAGAGGGAAAAAACAACAAAACAAAAAGGATATAAGCAGTAAAAAGTACCAATGATAAACTGTCCCTTGACAATCAGGTCAAGGATTCTTGAAGCCATTGATTCTAAAAGTGACAATTTCACTTCTATAGCTTTGATTTTAGCTGCGCTATTAATTCTTCCAAATCAGGGAGAACATATGGTATTTGTCTCTTTGGTACTGGGTTATTTCACTAAATATGAGGTTTTCCAGCTTGCTCCTTTTTGCTGCAAAGGACTGTATTTCATCCTTTTTATTGTTGTATAGTATTCCATAGTGTACATATCCCACAATTTCTTTTTCCAGTCTTCAGTTGATAGACATTTAGGTTGCTTCCATGTCTTAGCTATTGTGAATTGAACTGCAATAAACATGGAGGTGCAGACAGTTCTTTTGTTTACTGATTTCATTTCACTTGGGTAAATTCCCAGTAGTGGAATGGCTGGGTCATATGGTAGGTCTATATTCAGATTTTTGAGGTATCTACATGCTGTTTTCCATAGTGGCTTTACCAGTTTACATTCCCACCAACAGTGGGTGAGGGTGATTCCTCTTTTGAAAAATGTCTGTTAAGATCCTTGGCCCATCTATTTATTGGGTTGTTTGTTTTGTTATTGTGGAGTTTCTTGAACATTTTATAGATTCTGGTTATTAATCCTTTATCAGTTGTGTAGTTTGCAAATAATTTCTACCATTCTGTCGGTTGCCTCTTCACTTTCCTGACTGTTTCTTTTGCTGTAAAGAAACTTCTCAATTTGAGGTAATCCCAATTGTTTCTCAGTTTGTTAATGTGATGTATCACATTGATTGATCTGTGAATGTTGAACCATCCTTGCATACCAGGGATAAATCCCACTTGGTTTGGGTGAATGATCTTTCTGATGTGTAGTTGGATTTGGTTGGCCAGGATTTTGTTGAGTATTTTTGCGTTTGTATTTATCAGGGAGATTTTACTGATTTGAATCTTCTCTATCCTTTTTTTGGTTAGTTGGGCCAATGGTGTGTCAATTTTATTTTTCAAAAAAACCAGCTCTTCCTTTTGCTGATCTTTTGTATTTTTTTTTTGTTTCAATTTTGTTGATTTTTTTCTCTAATCTTAATTATTTCTTTTCTTCTACTGGATTTGGGTTTGCTTTGCTGCTGTTTTTCTAGATCCTTGAGGTGCATAAAGAGATCATTTATTTGGTACCTTTCCAGTTTCTTGATGCAGGCACCAATTTCTATAAACTTTCCTCTTAGCACTGCTTTTGCTGTATCTCATAATTTTGATAAGTTTTATTGTCATTTTCATTTGTTTCTAGAAATTTTTCGATTTCTCTTTTGGTTTCTTCTGTGACCCACTGTTCAATCAGAATCATGTTGTTCATTCTCCATGTATTTGCTTATAATGCAGAGATTCTTGAGTTGTTGATTTTGAGCTTCATTGCATTGTAGTCTGAGAAGATGCATGTTATAATTTCAGTTTTTTTTTTTAATTTGCTGAGGCTCCCTTTATGGCCTAGCATATGGTCAATCCCAGAGAAAGTTCCATGCACTGGAGAGAAATATGTGTACTCTGTGGCTATGGGGTGGTAGACTCTGTAGATATCTACTAGGTCTGTTTGGTCTTAGTGTCAACTAGCTCTGTTGTTTCTTTGTTCGTTTTCTGTCTGGTTGATCTGTCCATTGCTGAAAGTGGGGTATTGAAGTCCTCTATTACTATTGTATTTGAGTCTATATCTCCCTTTAAATCCTTTAATAATTCTTTCAAATAGCCAGGCGCCCTGTAATTAGGTGCATATAGTAACATCTTTGTTTTGGATTGATCATTTAATCATTATATAGTGTCCTTCTTTGTCTCTTTTAATAGCTTTTGTGTTAAAGTCTATTTTGTCTGATATTAGGATGGCCACATCAGCTCTTTTTTGGTTTCTGTTAGCTTGGAATATCTTTTTCCATCCTTTTGCTTTCAGTCTGCGTGCATCTTTGCTGGTGAGGTGTGATTCCTGAAAGCAATAGATAGATGGGCTTTCTTTTTTTAATCCATTCAGCTAGTCTGTGTCTTTTGACTGTAGAGTTGAGACTGTTTACATTCAGTGTGACTATTGTTAAATAATGTCTTCTTCCTGCCACGTTTCCTTAAGTAGGACTGTTTATGTATGTTGCTATTTGCTTGTATTTTAGCTGGGTCATTTTCTACATTCGTCTTCTTTTGTAGTGAAGTTCCTGTTTCTGTGTTTCTGTGTGCAGCACATCCTTGAGCCAGTGTTGTAGGGCTAGATGTGAAGATACAAATTCTTTCAGTTTCTGTTTGCTGTGGAAAATCTTTATTTCCCCTTCATTCATAAATGATAGCTTTGCAGGGTACAGTATTCTTGGTAGGCAGCGTTTTTCTTTTAAAACTTGGAATATATCATGCCTTTGTCTCCTTGCCTGTAGGGTTTGTGATAAGTTTGGGGTGAGTCTGATTAGATTACCTCTGAATATGATTTGTCGTTTCTCCCTGGCACATTTAGGATTTGTTCTTTGTATTTCACTGAGCTGAGTGTTTCCACAATGTGTTGTGGTGAATTCCTTTTCTGGTCATATTTGTTAGGACTCCTGTGTATTTGTAGTATTTGTATGTTCTTTCAACCTGCCTATGGTGGAAGTTTTCTGATATTATTTCATTAAGAAGGCCACCTAATCCAATCTTTCTTCCTACACCCTCAGGGACTCCTATTATCCGGAAGTTACAATGCTAGATTGAATCTTGTAAGTCGTCAACAGTGATTTTTAATTTTCTAATTTCTTCTTCTTGTGTTTGATCTGACTGTATTATTTCTGGAAGTTTGTCTTCAACTTCTGATACTCGCTCTTCTGTTTCATCTGTTCGATTTCTGAGGGATTCCACAGCATTTTTTATTTTGTCAATTGAATTTTTCATTTCCAGTATTTCATTCTGGCTTCTCTTTAGAATCTCTATTTCTTTTTGTTCAGATCTTGAATCTGTTTCTCATTGCTTCTAGGTAACCTGATTATTAATTTTCTGAATTCTTTTTCTGGCATGACTTCAAATTCTTCTTCTTCGACCTCTATTATTGAAGGTTTAGATTGCTCCATTGGTGAGTTCATAGGTTCTTCTATATTCTTACTCAGGATTTTTCCTTTGTTCTTTGGCATTTCTGTTTGGTTTAATTTGAAGTTGATTATCATCTGCTATGGGCTGTTATGGGTGTGCCAATTGCCAGTGTAAGCAGGAAACTCCACCTCCTAGAGCTTTGTTTATTTCTGGTAGCTGAGGGAGGTGGGTACTTGAGTAGGCTGATACCTGGGCTTTGAGGTGCTAAGCCCCGCCCACTCGGGGGATCTCCCTGTTCCTTTGTTCACCTGAAAATGCCTGGGCCTCCGTTGACAGCCTTCCCTGTCACTGTGCTCCCTGCATGACGATGGGGGAGCCACTCTGAACTGCTGTGACCCTTGTCCCCGGGTGGGGTGGCCCATCACTGAAGTTCGCGTGTGGGAGGCAAAAGCACAGCCCGCCCTGCTGCGCTCCAAAATGTGAACAAATAAGATGGCTGCTCTCTGCCTGCTGAGCTCCAGTTGTGGGGGGTGGAAGACACCGAGGGATCGTGGTGTGGTCAATCTCTGCTCGCCCCCCAGAATTCGTACTGTCCTCCCGCTTTCAGCACCAAGCGCCGTTCACTTCGCCTTGCTTCTGCACTCCTCCGTGCTCATGTCTCCGTGGGCTCTCACATCTCGCCTGTTCCTCCCGGGGCGGTGGTGGCCCCGGCGGCAGCAGTCCTCCCACTGCTTCTTTGTTCTGTTCTCTTTCTGCAGTTTGGGCACCTCTACCTCCCCCGACATGGTCCCTGGCACTCTCTGGCCTGCTCTCATGCCACTCTGCACCACCCTTCCCGTGGTTCCATCGCCTGACTGTCCCCTCTCTTCATCAGTCTCTCTCTGTACGACTTGGCACATCTTGCTGCTATACTGCCATCTTTCCCAAAACAACCTCTCCAGGAAGCGTTCCCCAAGTCTGCTGATGGCGGCTTTCCTCACAGCAGGCCCGGGACAGACGCTGGCCACATGATAGGGGACACTGTGCTGACTGCCCCCAGGTGCCCTCCAGGACACTCCCTCAACACAGGACCCTGCTCCTCGGAGCCCTGCAGCTGGCGGTGTGGACGTGGGCCCTCGGCAGAGACCCTGTGGAGTGGGCCCAGCCGCTCACGCATGCCCTAATATCCTTTAGCCACCAACTTCAGACTCTTTAGTCTATGACAGGCACAGGTGAGGACTAGGAATGTCTGAAAAAGCAAAAACTAGTGAAAGCTAGACCACTGGGAGGCTGCTATTCCTATATTCCACTGAGTAGACTAAAGAGACTGCACCGGTTTTCCTCTTCCTGGGTCGTGTGCTGTGATTTAAAATGAAGTTCAGGTACATGGGAGCCATGATGAAAGGTGGTCGGAAGAGATGGGGTGCCCTCACGGCCACTACATTGCCATGGTACAAGCAGGCGCCCAGGGAAGACTCACTGTGACACACGTCTGGTTCTGCTGGGAGCTCCCTGGGCAGGGGGTGGTTACAGAGGGGGTCCCCATCATTCCTCTCATCTATAAAGGTTCTTGAGGATCCAGAACAAGAGGGGGCATTTTCAGTCTAAATTTTACAGAGGCTTCTGGGATTACAGCTATGCTTTTAAACGTTTTGTGTAGAAGGAGAACAGTGCTTTGAGTTGTCAAACTGGCGAGTTGAAAATACCAGACTCCAAAAAACATTTAAAGGAAATATTTCTGTGTTTTCCTTCAGATTAGAATATTAAAAATTAAATAAGTTCAATAATGTTTCATTGCAAATATGAAAAATTTATGCTCAGAATCTGATGGGAAGATTTTGGATTCCTGTGAAGCTTTGTTTATTTGGAAATAGATGAGTTTTTTTCTACTTGTGTTGTAAAGTTGAAACCCTAAAAAAATGTGTAATAGAGAAGTTGCCTACCTCTGAGATAATTTTTATATCGTTTGGCATAAAACCCTCCAGCGTTTCCCCTTCTGTTCCTGTGATAGTGTGCATTATGCTTTACGTGAGATAGTGCAATTATGTTGTTTTTCAACTATTATTTCTTCAATTATCATGTCTTAGATGACTTTTATAACAGATGTACACAGTCCGTGACCCTAGACCACCGTGCTTGTCCCTGCGGCTCCACTGGATGTTCCCCTCGCCAGCCAGCATCATGGTAAGGTGACTCCTCCTGGTTTTATGTGGCCTCCCCCTCCCCGCACAGTGATTAGACTGGCTCACGCCGTGTGAACCAGTGGCTTCCATGACGTTGTAAAATGAATTGAGAGGCCGATGAATTTCTCTCTGTGGGGATGAGGTGAAGATATTCAGCTTAGGAGCTCTTAAAGGCAGGAAGTCAATACAGATGGTCCCTCTCTTGGGGTGCTTTGACTGATGATTTCTGACTTGCTGGTGGTATGAAAGCCATCTGTGGTCAGTAGAAACCATGCTTCAGCTTCTGCATTTTACCTTTTCCCAGGCTAGTGCTGTGAGGTCTGATCGCTCGTGGTTCTGAGCAGTGGCAGCAAGTGCAGCTCCCAGGTAGCCCTGGGATTGCCAGGGAAACAAGCAGGGCCTTGCAGGGTGCTGTGTTGCTGAGTTGGAGGATTGCATGCATTTGCAACTTACAATGGGTTCATTGGGGGACATAGCCCATTGAAGACTGAGGAGCATCTGAATGAAGCCAAAATGCAGAGAGAGGCAGGGCCCAGGAGTACCTTGGCCCTGGATCTGACTGTTCTTTTCTACAGTTTGATTTAGTTACCTGCTCCTTCCTTAAATTATAAGAATCCATAGGTCTTCTTTCTTTCCCCCAGCCTAATTTAAATTGTCTCCTGTCACTTATATTGAAGAGTCTTTATTACTGTGCCTTTCTATGTGAATCCATAAATATTAACCATTTTAATTGGGTGGATAATATTTCATTGAAATATAAACTCAGATATTTTAAAAATCTTTTAGCTATAATCATTTGTATTATTGGGAAGTTCGGATTTTATACAATACTGCAATGTGCATTCTTTTATACTTGCACAGTTGGTGAATATATCTCTAGAGAAAAATCTTAGTAGAGCAACAAAAAGGCTCAGATCTTTTAAATTTTAATAAGCCATAACAAATAACCCTCCTGCAAAGTGCACCCATTTATTCTACCACCAGTAGTGGCAGGTAGTGCAGGTATCTTCCAAATAGGTGTTGCCAGGAGTTTAAATCTTTGTAAATATAATAGGAGAAAAAATAATTTCTGGTTTTAATTTGTATTTTAAAATTTTTCTTGTGGAAGATCACCTTTTTTTTAGAAAAAGATTGATTTATTTGAAAGGCAGAGTGACAGCACACATGCTTCCATCTGCTGGTTCACTCCCCAAATGTCTGCAATGACTGGAGTGGGGACAGGCCAAAGCCAGGAGCCTGGAACTCCATCAAGGTCTTCCACGTTGGTGGCAGCACTTGGGCCACCTTCTGCTTTCCCAGGCACATTAGCAGGGAGCTGGATCAGAAGTGGAGCAGCCAGGACTCAAACTGCTGCCCACAGGGATGCTGGTGTTGCAGATGGCAACTTCACCTGCTGTGCCACAACGCCAGCCCTGGATCACTTTTTAATATACTTACCTCAGAGGACAAAGAAAATTATATAGATTTCTTGTTGGAAATGACATAGACAAGAAGATGGAGGGACAAAATGTCAAAAGAACTGGAGGAACATCCATTGACTTCTAATTAAATACCCAGTGAAACCATCCTTCAAAACCGGAAGAGATAGGAAGACTTCTGAAGGAATGAAAAACTGAAAGAACCCAGCAGCAGCAGAGCTGCACTACAAGAGATGCTGCAGGAGGTCCTGCAAGCAGAAGAAGATAACGCCAGAGGAGGTCTGGATTTATGCCGGGAATGCAGACTAACCCCAGATGGCAACTGCACAGATAAGCACACGTGACTTTTAGAAAGTAATCATTGGAACTGGTGCTCTGGTGTAGTGTATAAAGCTGCAGCCCACAATGCTGGCATCCTATATGGGCACCAGTTCATGTCCTGGCTGCTCCACTTCTGATCCAGCTCCTTGCTAATGGCCTGGGAAAAGCAGTGCAGGATGGCTAAAGTGCTTGGGCTGCTACACCCAAGTGAGAGACCTGGATGCAGCTCCTGGTTCCTGACTTTATCTTGGCCCAATTCTGGCCATTGGGGCTATTTTGGGAGTGAATCAGTGGATCTCTCTGTCTCTGTCTCTGTCTCTGTCTCTTCCTCTCTCTCTGTAACTCTTAACTTTCTAATCTTAAAGCTCTCTCTTTTTTTTAAAAAAAGTATTTAAATCTCTTTGTAAGATAATTGGATGCTCAAAGCAAAAAATAATAACTATAAAAATGGGTTTATAACATGTGGATTTAAAAATTTATGACAACAGTAGTACAAATGTCATAAGGGGAGAAATGGAAATATATTGTTGTAAGATTCTTAAACATCAACTGTGATATGTCAAAGATGTGTATTATAAGCCCTAAAGCAATCCATAAAATAATTCCCAATGATTTACAGCTATCAAACCAATAAAAAATAAATTGGAGCCATGAAAATACTACATTTGTCCAAAAGAAGACAGAAAAAAGAGTAAGCACAGCTGATACAGAAAACAAATGACAAGATGATAGATTTAAACCAAGCCATCCAACTGACAGAATGGGAGAAATTATTTGCAAACTATGCAACTCATAAAAGAGTAATATACAGAATCTATAAAGAACTCAAGAAACTCAACAGCAACAAAGCAATCCAGTTAAGAAATGGGCAAAGGATTTGAACAGGCATTTTTCAAAAAGAGGAAATCCAGATGGCCAGACACATGAAAAAATGCTCAAGATCATTAGCCATCAGAGAAATGCAAATCAAAACCACAATGAGGTTTCACCTCACCCCCAATCAACAAACAACAAATGCTGGTGAGGATATGGAAAAAAGGATACCCTAATCCACTGTTGGTGAAAATATAAACTGGAGCAACCACTGTGAAAGACAGTATGGAGATACCTCAGAAATCTGATTATAGACCTACCATATGATACAGCCATCCTACCCCTGGGAATTTACCCAAAGGAAATGAAATCAGCATATAAGAGTTATCTGTACCCATTTGTTTTTTTATTACAGCTCAATTCAGAACAGCTAAGATATGGAATCAACCCACATGCCCATCAACTGAAAACTGGCTAAAGAAATTATGAGGGGCCGGTGCTTTGGTGTACTGGGTAAAACCACCGCCTGCAGTTTTGGCACCCTATATGGGTGCCTGTTCGAATTTCGGCTGCTCAATTTCTGATCGAGCTCTCTGCAATGGCCTGGGAAAGTAGCAGAAGATGGCCCAAGTCCTTGGGCCCCTGCACCCATGTGGGAGACCTAGAAGAAGCTCCTGGCTCCTGGCTTCAGATCAGCACAGCTCTGTCCATGGCCATTTGGGGAGTGAACAAGCAGATGGAAGACCTCTCTTTCTCTCTCTCTCTGCCTTTCAAATAAATAGGTAAATAAATCTTTTAAAAAAAGAAATTATGGATATGTATACCATAGAATACTACACAGTGATAAAAAAAATGAAATCCTGTCATTTGCAACAAAATGGATGAAACTGGAAAATGTTATACTTACTGCGATAAACCAGTCCCAAAAAGACAAATACTATGTGTTCTCCCTGATCTGTGGTAACTAATAGAGTAACTAAAAGGTAATCTATAGAAGTAAAATTGGCCAGTGCCGCAGCTCACTAGGCTAATCCTCTGCCTTACGGCGCCGGCACACCGGGTTCTAGTCCCGGTCGGGGCGCCAGATTCTGTCCTGGTTGCCCCTTTTCCAGGCCAGCTCTCTGCTGTGGCCCGGGAGTGCAGTGGAGGATGGCCCAAGTGCTTGGGCCCTGCACCCCATGGGAGACCAGGATAAGTACCTGGCTCCTGCCATCGGATCAGCGCGGTGCGCCGGCCGCGGCGGCCATTGGAGGGTGAACCAACGGCAAAGGAAGGGAAGACCTTTCTCTCTGTCTCTCTCTCTCACTGTCCACTCTGCCTGTCCAAAAAAAAAGAAGAAGTAAAATTGACACTTTGAGATGTGATGACTTTGAATAGTCCTTGACTTGATTGTTGAGGAGCAGTTTTTTTTTTTAATACTATTTGTTGAATTCTATACTTAGTGTAAGGTTAATATTATGTGTACAAAAATAATTGAAAATAAATCTTAGTAAAAAATAAGAATGGAAATAGGAGAGGGAGGATGAAGAAGGGTAGGGATTACTGGTAGGAGAGAGGGTGGGATGAGAAGAATCACTATGTTCCTAAATTTGTATTTATGAAATGCATGAAGTTTTAATACCTTAAATAAAAATTTCCCAGGAAAAGAATAAATACTACTAGAAAATGGACCAGCCACATTATCAGGGACAAAACGTCCTGGGCACACAAGCCATAGCAATAATTATATTAGATGTTGTTGGTTAAACACACCAATTAAAGGCAGAGGTTGTCACATTGGGTAGAAAGAATGATCAAACTGCATAGGAAACCCACATCAGATGAAAAGATTTCAATGTATTAAAAGCGAAAAGATAAGAAGATGTATGTTAGCATTAATTAAAAGAAAATCTGGAGCCATATTAATATCACATAAAGTAGATTTTATAACAAGGAATATTTTCTGGGATAAAGAGGACCATTTCATAAGGATAGGGATTATTTTTTTTTTTTTTTTGGACAGGCAGAGTGGACAGTGAGAGAGAGAGACAGAGAGAAAGGTCTTCCTTTGCTGTTGGTTCACCCTCCAATGGCTGCCACGGCTGACGCGCTGCAGCTGGCACACCACGCTGATCCGAAGCCAGGAGCCAGGTGCTTCTCCTGGTCTCCCATGGGGTGCAGGACCCAAGCACTTGGGCCATCCTCCACTGCACTCCCGGGCCATAGCAGAGAGCTGGCCTGGAAGAGGGGCAACTGGGACAGAATCCGGTGCCCCGACCGGGTCTAGAACCTGGTGTGCTGGCGCCACAGGCGGAGGATTAGCCTATTAAGCCACGGCGCTGGCCAAGGATAGGGATTAATTTATTAAAAGAACATAACAGTGCTAAAAAATTATACAATTAATAGCAGTATCAAAATATGTGAAACAAAAATTGAAAAAAAAAAACACGAGTAGAAATAGACATATCTG